TCCTATAATTGTATTTTAGCCCTTTACTGGGGCAGTAACCTCAAAGGTGCAACTATACCCCTAAAAAGGAGCATATTAGTACCATAGCATGCTTCATGCTTTAAGTGTAGATGAGTTTCAAAGGTCCACCTTTGTTGGCGTTACATAAGTACTATTATTATTATTTATTATTATTATTACCATGGTAAATTTGTGGTTACTGCAGTTTCACTACAAATACTGTGGTAAACAGTGGTTACAGTAATAAAACCATGGTTATTTTTTTGTAAAAGGCTGCCAGGCTGTTGTACCCCTAAAGGCGAAACTCATATATATTTTTTTTTCTGACAGATTTATTAACAGCAATTACAGAACATAACACAATCCATTTGAACTTTTAACAACCAGTTTAAATAAATTTACTTGCACAATTTAAGCCAATTTACTAGCAATTTTAAAATAAATATTACATGTACACAAAAGTTTGGGGTCAGTAAGATTTTGTAATATTTTTTTTAAGTCTCATGCTCAGGAAGGCTGCACTTATTTGAACAAACAAACAGTAAAAGCAGCAATAATGTGAAATATAACAATTAAAAATAACTATTTTCTATTTTAATATAGTGTCACATGATCCTTCAGAAATCATTCTAATATCATTTGCTGCTCAAGAAACATTTATTTTTATTGTTGCTTCATATTTGTGTGGAAACCGTGCTGCATTTTTCAGAATTAATTTTATATATAGTAACAATGTTATGTAATGTAATAATGTGGCAATGGTTTCTTAAGATCTACTTATGCTTCTGATGCTTTTGGGAAACGCAGCCCTATTTGAACAAGCACTGTGAGCCATGCATCAGCAGCGAACACTGTCTGTGATTGATTGGTTCTGTCTTTCAGCATTTGCGTGTGTTCCGATGAGCAGGAGAAATGGTTCTATCCTACACAATTATTCGCTAATATAGTCTATTTTTCCACTTAGCTTATTTTATGCCCCGAATTTCTTGATAAATAAATAAAATTAATGGTTAAAAAATGCACTTTAGAATCGATATTTTTATGTGAGGATCGATCCTTTCGATACAACATCAGTATCGAAAGTATCGATACTTAAGGAATCGATCCACCCATCCCTAGTCTTTAAGGCAGGAAACACCCTTACGAAAATGAACCATGGTTTTACTACAAATAAAACCAAAAAAACATGGTTACTACAGTTAAACCATGGTAACTACAAATTAACCATGGTTTTGCTACACTAACCATAGTTTAATCATGGTATTTGTAGTAAAACTTTGGCTAAACAAATGGTAATCAATCCGCCAAAAAAACTTACATTTCCTCATGCTTCTTGGCTCTCTGTTGCCATCCCCTATTAAGTAAACAGGCACTTCCTGTAAGGAGAGAATAGCCATTTTGAAAATGACCATTACGACTACTATGGAAAGAGTGCTCTAATAGGTGCAGACCTTGGCAAAGTTGCTAGGGAACATGCCTCTCTTTCCTCTCAGCTCCCCTTCCAGCCATCCTTCCTCTTTACCCTTTGAGACGTTCTTCACCACATCTCCCACATGCACCGTCAACTCATCTGACATCGTCGCCTCAAAGTCCAGAAGCACAAGCACCTCTAAAATGGACAGAAGAGAGGTGAAGCCATTGGTGGTTAGTAAACTGGAGTGTTTTATGAAATATGTAATATTTTGGCTTGCAAATTATGTTTTCAGCTACTTATAAGTATCTAAAATACATTTTAACATAACCATTCTACAGATTTTTCACTCAAATAAATGCAGATTTCATTTGGGCCAGCTATGATGTTTGTCGCATCCAGTGTAGACAGACTTTAGCTGTTGCGGCGCAGCGCTGTGCGACACGACAACTGTCGCGTCCGGTGTAGACACAGTGTGAGTCAGTTGCACTTTCTCAATCAGCCTTATCTTTTATGAAATACTTACCCTACAGACAAATGCATCTAATTATGTGAAAGACATGAAAAAACATGCCAAAGAGATTGAAGTGGTAGGATTTATGTGATTCTAAAGTGCAATACTGGAGCTGGATAGCCATGAGCAATGTGTTTCAACAGGCTTACAGGTATGCGAGTTGAACCTGAATGATTTGAACTCAAGAATGCATAGCAGTATAAAGAGCAGTTTGCATGATTCACAGTGGCATTTTATCTGATTTCCGGCAAGAAACTCTTGTGTGTTTTATCAGTCTAAATGTTAAGCCTTAATTACAGGTAGTTTATGATCAGGTGAGCTAAAAAAAAAAAAGCAGCATTATAATGATGTTGGTGTCAAACTGTCAGCTCAAGTTTCTTGACCACATACGTCACACTGAGTAAATCAGTAAATAAATAAATAAATACATTCAGTTATGGATAATTGTTAGTAATAATATTAAATCAAAAATATAATACAGGTGTAACCTGTCACTTGTCGTTTATTGCTTACTAATCAAAATTATGTTACACTCATTATACTACAATTCACATGAACACTGGCTACCGTATATATACATAATCACTATATATGCTTCTTCTAAAATACACTGATCTTTCCATTAAAAAAGCCATAGGTGTTGGAATGGCAATACAAATAAATAAATATATCTATACATAACCCAAGTATCACAAATACCACAGCTTGCCAAATCATAACAACCTTTTTGAAACAAAGTTTAAAAACTCACCCATGGCCCCTTGAAAGCTGTGTTTAGAGCACCAAGTCTGACAATGAAGATTCTGTTCAGTTCTCAGTGTCATGGAATCCCTGCTTGATTTAGTGGTATTACACAATCCAGAGACAGCAAAAGCTTCGTTGGACCTCCTTCTTTCTAGTCAAACATTAGCATTGTTGGGGAAAAAAAAAAATTCTCAGCTAGTCAAGACACGTTTATACCCTGAGAAGGAGAGATAAGTGTGTAACAGGTGAGACAGGTTTGTGTTGGTATGAGCCTTCTGGTGTCACGTGCCACAGCAAAACTGACTGACAATACTGCATGTGTACTCACTTGAAAGGAATTCAAGGAAAAACCTGATGTTTAAATAACCTTGATTTGATAGGAGCGTAATCTTAGGGAGCGTCTCAATCAGCTCCCTAGCTCGTGAATCAGTAGATCGTGTACACGAATTCGGGCACTGGTAAGTTCCCCGACTCACTGCACGTTGGGACAGTGATCACTCGAATTCCAGTGACATGATTACGTACAACGTCAACGGATAACAGTAGAACGTCATCACTGGAATTAATAAACAACAGACAGGACCGATCTCTTTTTGATATTTATTTTGTATTCTCTTTAAACACATCGTTCTGGTACAAGTTCTTACAACATTTAAGCCGAATATTAATTTGTGAACAATATTTGAGAGAAATAGGCCTTTTGTGTACATAGAAAAAGTCTTAGATCTTTGAGTTCAGCTCATGACAAATGGGGGCAAAAACAAGTGTTGCGTTTATAATAAGTGTAGTAGAACGTCATCACTGGAATTAATAAACAACAGACAGGACCGATCTCTTTTTGATATTTATTTTGTATTCTCTTTAAACACATCGTTCTGGTACAAGTTCTTACAACATTTAAGCCGAATATTAATTATAAATGTTAATTAGATGTGTTCAATTCCTGTCTAGCGATGTGCGTTTATGTTGAAATATACTAAAAAACGGTTTGTCTTTTCAAATCTTCTATCGCAAGTCATTCTATTTATCGAGTTGGCTCGTGTGGTTTATGTTTCGCGCTTCATAAATGTGACGTTATTTCCGGTAAGGGAGCATAGTGAGCGCCTATGCGCCCTAGTTTTTGCAGTGCATTGTGGGATTTTTCAGGAAGCGAACGTTCCAGTGCACTGGAAGGATTTAGCGATTGAGACAGCCCTTAAAATGGCCGACTCCCTGATCAGTGCCCTTACTACTGAACAAAGGAGCTGATTGTTAAATATGAGTGTGTTGATAGTTCTTTCAGTCTATGCCACGCTTAACTTTTATTGAACAGATAGCAGAGATATGATTGTACTGAGACTGTAATGCTTTTATTTAGAGCATGCCGGGCCAATTTAAACAGAAATAATAAAGCATTTTTAAGAGACCATTAAAATAGGCTTAATTCACAATATGATAATTTACCAAAAAAAAAAAAAAAACTTCCTGTTTCTACTTGACACAAAAATCAGTCAGATGTAAAATTGCTGCATTTTTATTTCTTTCTGATTGTGAGTATATAAATGCAAGTCAAAAAAGTCAAAATGTCTATATCAGACAGTGCAAATCAGAACCCAGACAGCTAAAATCCAATTTTGAGTATGAATGAAAATTGTTCACTTTCCCGCCAGCATATTCTTTATACTTTTAACTCTTCAAAAACAAAAATAAAGGTGCTTAGCCAATAGAAAAAGGCATACAATTTGAAGACACACATTAGAAAAACCATAATAAAACAGGATGCACACACATATTGTCAAAAACTTGCACCCCAATAAATCAAAAATTGTCTTTAAAACATTTGTATGTGCATGTACATTTAACTTTATCTGTAGGCTGTTTGTCCAGTTTCAAAGTTGACATCTTTGACTAGCAGTTGGATGAATGTAAATCTTTTCCCCCCACATGTCAGTGACTGGGACATGAATGTCTACCTGCTGTAGTTTGGTCCCATAGCGAGACTGGGTCATTCATACAAGTTATTAAGTCATGATCTTCCTTTCTATAGGTAGACACACAAGGGTTTCAATTAAGTCCACAACACATTAATATGTACATCTATTTTTTTTTCAACAGCAATAATGAGTACATAACTAGCCATAGTTCTATACTGGTATTCTACACCTCAGGCACTATGGTGTATCAACGGCACCTAACCATTGAACTAGTGCTCAAATAAAATGGGCTTTTTGATGCCTGATATCAACATCTATAAAGCAGTGTGGCCAATAAACTACATATGTGTCGTATTATGTTGAATTGTACTGTATATTACACAATCAAAATTCACACACAAATAAAAAATAAAATGTCTTACTATCCATAGACAAAGCTATCAGTAAAATTGGAAACTAAAAAAGTGGGGCGATAAACACTTCCTTTAATCAGTTAATGATAATCTCAAAATGGACAAATATCAGCTGATCAACTGGCCTGCCTTATCCAATCAGTCTTTCACTACTTAGATATTAACTTTTTGTTCTGCGTTTGTTTCATTTGTATGTTTTAATAGTCTTGTGCAAAAAACGAGACCGGATTCACAATGGAGGTACTCGATTTCGAGATGGAGTGCTAATTCTTCCAGAGATTTAAGGATAGAAAATAAATTTGAAGTTGCCTTTAACAGTGTCTGCCATGATTAGATGAATGTGCTCCTCTAAATAACTTTGCTTAAACTCCATACTATGTATTTTTCTATGAACTTTTGAGAGTTTGCATGTACAAAAAAAAAAAAAAAAGATACACAGAAAGCACAAAACACAACCAAGCTGACAAAAAGCATCCTCACGAAAATAGGAAATCAAAGCAATACAATAAAAAAGCCTCTTTCCTATGAAAAGGTTTTAGATGCATATGGATGTGAATATTATATCCATTCTTGAAAGTGTGAAGGCTGACAAGTCTTATGCAGTGTTTAAAGCATGATGAGGGATCTTAACAACGTTACTGCTCTGTTCTCACTGGTCCTGTTCTACATCTTCTCCTTGCTGTTCGCCCTCATCATCATCAGTGGTCTGGAATTTATCATGGGCCCATTTAGGGCTCGTATTATTGATGGTGTTGGTATTTGTGGCCCTCCGGAGGATGAAACGTCCCTTTGCGCGAAGAGCATTACCGCTACCACGTCCTCGTGTGTCCATCATCTTCTTCTCAGCTTCACCATCTCTTTCACTGTGCTGCAAAGACAAAAAATACAGACTTGCCAAGAATCTTCTTGATGCAATTATATAACATATAGTTGTAGGTGGGACTATTTTTTCCATTAGTAACTCCAATAGAAAGGGAAAGCAGAATGGGTGTTACAAAGATCACAACATACTAGGAAGTATTTCTTGTTCTTGGGAGTGTATTCTTGATCCCAGTCGTCATTCTTTGCTGACATGTTCATCTGTGAATCACCATTACTGCTTCCATGGAAATGTCCTCGGTTCCAACTTCTGCCGCGCATTCTAAGCTGCTGAGAAACAGCAAATGGCAACCTTAAGTACCACAGCAATAAACAAACATCTTAGTTATTCCATACACTCAAAACGTACAAAGCCTCCTCGTGCCCGTCCTCTTTCTGCAGGCTCTCCATACTCTCTAAGCCCCTGTTGTATTTTGGAGAAACCTTCTGCCTTGATCTCAGCGTCTTCTTCGTGGTAAACAAAGGAAGATGAGGAAGATGAGGAAGATGACTCAGAATGCTCACGTTTCTTCTTGTTTTTCCTTAGGAATTAAATAACATTAGATTCAGACATTGTTCATGAATGTTAACAGGTCTTAACAATTCAAAAATCAACTGGATTGAAGGTAACAACTTTTATTGTTCTTCAACATGCGCAAGATGACTTTATCAGGTCATTTGCTTCTCCACCAACTATAAATTAATCTTTACCAGAAGGAAATCAGGACATTTTTTAAACACTTGACAGCCTTTATCCAACATATTCCATATATCCAGCTGACCAGAAAGGCAAAAAGGTGCGTTCACACTGACAGTGATTTAATAGCTGAAGGTGACCAAGTGGCTGTCCTATTGGGCACAAGCAGGCATTCAAACTTGACGGTATCAGGAGGTTAAAATCACGTAAGCTCCACTCCCATTGGAAGTCGCTGCATCGTATTGCAGCTCATTTGTATAAAATTCAACTCTGCTCAACATTCGCACTGCCAACGATTTCTGTCATTTATGTTGCCTCACATCACCAACTCTCATTTCTTGTCGCTGCAGACTGATGTGTGTGGACACATCTCCAGGCCTTTTTATATATGTTTTTAAGGCCTCTTGAGAGGCTCAAGATGGACTTCTTGACGGTTTCATCTTGCTTAATCTTTACTTGACTCAACCATTCTTTTAATGTCGAGGCAAGTAAAATTTTATCTGAAATTGCTAATTGTTTATTGGTTGATCAAAATACTACATTTAGAGAAGTCATTATCACCAAGGCAGGATTTTTTTCACTTGAGAGGTCACAACAAACCCAAACAAAAATACAACTGTCAGCTTATTATTTTTGTCACCAAAAAAGTCACCAAAATGGCAGCAGCTTCAACCGTTTAAGTCTCTCTTAATTCTGTTTTCTATAACTGAACAACTCATAGCAGAACCTCTTTATTTCTGATCACTCTCACATGCCTATACAGCAGCTTACTTCGGTTGTTTGTGGTTCTTTGAGTTTTTCTCAGTGGATATTTCCTTGCTTGAACCTGGAGATTCCCTCGATACTCTTCCTCCATACTCTTCCTCTCTGTGCTCTCTCTCCCCACTCAAGTATTTCTTTCTGCGCTCAATATCCAGCCGAAGGTCCACTGAATCACCTTTAGATTTTTTACCATCGACCTGTGGTGAGGAGAAAGAGATATTTTGGCCAGATGAGGGTTAGCAGCGTTCCAGTAGCTTCATGTAGCATTGCATGGGGCGGGACCAAAAAGAAAAACATGGCAACAGCTGAATTAAAACAACCATGCAAATGGATGAGAGGAAGAGACCTTTTCTAATATCATTTTAAGTGGCATTTTGGCTTCACACAGTCTTTCAACAGGCTAATTAAACAGTATTTCTCAGAAATGGCAACAGGCCGCAAAGGTAACACTTGGATTTCCTCTTACTTGCTCACCAAAATAAAAAAAAAGACATTTAACAAAACAAAATAGTACAGGAGGCAACATTACAGGACCACAGCAGATATACTTTCATTGGTGCTGATGAAAGTATGTTGTTTTTACTTGGCCTAAACACCTCACTTTTTCTTTGCAGGCTTTGAAGAGGAATACTTACTATGACTTTTGCTTAGAGTCCTTTGAATGGATTTGATATGGGAACAACTGGTCACTTCCATTTCTGACCCCTGATTTCTTGCCTCTTAGGAAGGCTTGTACCCATAGTAAAAGGTTACCATCAAACGTTGAGGGGGCATTTACAACACAACAACCTGAATGCACCTCTTTTTGCATCTCACATTTGGACTTTTATGCATCTCTCATCAGAAACAGAGTTTAGAGTGAGAAGGAAGCCTAAGAATGCTCTGGCTGGATCACTCGAGCAGCATTCTTTTCCAAAATACGTCATATTTCAAAATGTTCGGTCACCTTGAAGCTGTTTTCCTTGGAGCTTTTCATCTCATCAAACCGAAGAGAGTGCCTCTTAAAAGCACTGGGAGAAACATCAATTCTCCTGTGAAAAAAAAGAGGTGGAGAGAGGAATATTTTGATAAATGTCGATCCTCCTTTCTTAGAGCCGTAGAAATTGTCAAAACAAATAAATTACTAATATGTGCATGAGAAAGCAGCCTGGGAAGTTGTCCCTGAATTTTTGTACCTGTGTATCTCTGGACTCTTTCTCTGCTTCATGAATTCTTTCTCAGCAGCTCGTCTCTGGTACATGGCAAATCGGTCATTTAGGGTCAATCCAGAGGAAGGAAAATATTGAGCTGTGGGCGGACAAAAAATAATTGATATTTTTTTATTAAATTATGAATTAGTAATATAAATACTTTTTAAATATAATAAATGAATAAAGCATTTCATCAAGTAATAAAACCTGAATAAACAAAACAAAACAAAAAGCTAAAAAATATTTATTAAATGAATACATTTCATTTTTAGAATACAGTGTACCCCCTCAGAAACTTGACTGCAAAAGACATCAGTCCTCAGTTTCAGTCACCTTTAATGTGATGGACAATTGAAACTATGTGTTGGGCATACAGCTCAGATGGGCTTTTGGGTGACTGCTGAGCCTGAAGATGCTGAAGGACAGATTGAAACTCCAAATCCTTCTTATCGAGATGCAGTAAATCCAGAAGATTCCTTCTTTCATTGCTCAAAACAGACGTCCTGTCAAATACAACAACGGTTAGGAAAGGCAAAATGAAATAGAATTCAAATCTGATAGTCAGAAGCAGTCATATGCACAAAGTTTTGTGAAGATGCAAGTAGAAGCAAAAGGTCCTTGCTGAGATCTTGGAGGGAAACGAAAATAATTTACCTTGCAAGGTCATCACTTAGATAATCCATCCTCACACTGAATTCACTTCCTCTTTTCACTGAAGCTCTTTGTGGGGATTCCTCGTTCATAACCACAAACATCTCTTGCTCACGGTTCTCAGAGCTCCTCCTGGGCAGCAGTGTGGGTTTAGAAGAGGAACTTAGCGTGGTTTTCTCCTTTCGTTTTACATTAGAGAGCTTTTCAGGTGAGGGATCCTTAAACATGCCACTGAGCTGGTCTCTCTTAGATAGAGCAGCTAGTAAATTCGCTGCTCTTTCCTGTTTATGGCAGAGCAGGAGAGCTTCCAGCTCATCATCCCACGCCATGTCCTGCATCCTCCTGATACGATTCTCGAACATTTCACGAGCGGACACCATGACTTTGCTTTTGCAGGGATCATTTTCCATATCCCTCACCCTATCAGACATCTCCATTTCTTCATCATCGTCCTCGCCATCCTCGCACAGAAGTGTCGGGCCATTTCGTGAACCCCTTTTAATGGAGCTTATGGATAACTTATTACCATCACCACTCTTGGCAGATTTGGATTTCTCCTTCTCTCCTGCGTTGTCGTGATCTACAGTGCGAGACAACTCAATGCCCTTTTCAAACATTTCTCCATTTTCTTTATCACATACTATATCTCCATTACTTTTCCCTTTATGTGTGTTGTCGTCCCATGTAGAGGCCTGTTTTTTAAGATTTTGCTCCTCCAGAAATCTAGTCAACGAGAGAAAGAAATTTTCAGTTTATTGTTATTTTCAATAACGTGCTCAGACGCATCTGTTGTCAGTTTGACGTGACCAAGGACTTCTACCAAGTCAAATTGACAGAACTATTCGTAAACTGTAATGGATTTGTTCATTTTACCGTGCACAAATGAATGGCTTCCACTGTGAAAGAGGTAAACAAGTGTGTGTGAGGCTGGGAAAATTTCACTTCATCCATTTGCAAAGTGCAAATATAACCCTTTTAGACCTTTTTAGAACATCTAAATGACAGATTGTGAGCTGACATTTGCAAACAAGGCATATCTAGCACTTCATGTGTGTTGGCTCTTTCTTCCAACAGCTCTGTTGATGCATTTGAAGGGCAGATCGCAAACCCAACTGTGCAATCTTACTTTTTGTCTGGCACACACACAGGATTTATTGTGTTATTTCCACTCTTACACTGACTAAAATAAAAGTAAAAAAGAAAAAGAAAATAGAAAGCAAATTTCAAATGCATATAATCCATTGAAATGATGAACATCTGTCATTTAATTCGCTTGAAAGGCCTAAAACACAGTATGTACAAGACAAATTAATCTAGGGCTGGGTAGAAATGGGAAGAAATAGCGCAGAAATAGGGCTTTGTTTGAACAATTGACTACTATGAATCAGTCTCATGAATCAGTCCTATTTAGTGAATCAAAAATATACAATGCATCCAGTGTAGCCCTGATTCTGGCAATTAATGACTCTTATGGGATGATTTGTTTTATGAATGGTTTAAAAAGATGAGTTACTGATTTGAATCAATCTGAAATTGCCCTTTATGATATACAGCATTAGCAGACAGAGACTAAATGGAATCGAATGAGGAAGCCTGCAATAATACCCAGCCCTAGGATAAATAATGAAATGATATACACTATTGGTAAAAAGTTTGGAATAACTACAATTTTTTTGTTTTTAAAATAAGTCACTCAGCAAGTTTGCATTTATTTGATTAAAAATACAGTAAAAACTGTATTTAATATTTTGAAATATTATTACAATTTAAAATAACTATTTTCTAATTTAAAATATTTTAAAATGTAATTTATGCCCGTGGTGGCAAAGCTGAATTTTCAGCAGCCATTACTCCAGTCTTCAGCATCACATGATTTTCAATTAATGATCGCTCTTAATATTATCAGTCTGTCACGATACTGCTGTTAGGGAGACGAAGGCACCACGAAGATTATAACAACAAATCCTTTTAATGGTAATCCACACGATGAAGAGGGTCTAACACACAGGGTAACATTAAACAATACCGGACAAAGGAAGACAGGACAGACTACACTTTAAATACGGGAGCAAATGAAGATTAATTAATGACACACACCTGAACTAAATGACACAATCAAACATGAGGGAAACTAGGTCACACAGAGCACATGAGGGATGAAAACAGAACAAATGTCCAATGGGGTGTGACAGACCGCTCCCCTCCCGGAAGGCTCGACCTCACGCCGTGGGGACAAAGGGAGGGACGGAGGGGGACATAGGAGGAGGACACAAGGAGTGGAGAAGGGATGGTGACAAGGGACGGCGAAGGGCAGGCAGACAAGACAGGTGGAGGACGGACACCCGGGAGGAGGATGATGACAACCAAAGTCCAGGGTTGAGCTGACGGAGGGAGGAGCCAGGGAGAAGCCAGGAGGGAGCAGGAGGAGCCAGGTGTGACCCAGGCCACAGCCCTGATGGTGGCCCACGGAGGAGCCGACGGAGGGAGGAGCCATGGTGGAGGAAGGGAGCAGATGGCCCCGGCAACTGAGGCAGAGGCGGGGATCCGGAAGGCCGCGGTGGAGCCGGAGCGACAGAGGACCAAGGTGGAGCCAGAGGGAAGGAGGAGCCTGACAGAGGCAGAGGGATGGAGGGACGAAGTGTAGCCGGAGGAGTGGAGTCCTGAGGCGGCAGATGGTCGACGACAGACTAAGGCGGAGCTGGAGGGACAAGGGACCCCGGCGGAGCCGGTGGACTGATGGGCCACGGCGGAGAGGAGGGAGCTAGGAGTCATGGCGGAGCCGCTGGGTCGAAGGGCCGAGGCGGAGTCCTGAACTTAGAGGCTGGAGGCGGAGACAAGGGATGGAGACTGGCAGACCCGCGGCGATCCCACCGCACAGATGATGGGCTGAGGGTGAGCAGAGGGGCTGCCAGGAGACAGCGGTGGCAATGGTGAGGACTGGTGCAGAGGTGGTGGGAGAGGGAGGCTGGTCGGGAGTTCAGGATGCTCAGGGGGCTCAGGAACAGTGTGTGCTTCCCACACACATCACAAGGCCACTCCCAACACCGGGAGCGAATGTAACAGGGGGTTGACCTCCATGGTCGTTGTCCCACAGGCAGATAGACAGTTCAGCGCAGACAGATAGTTCAGGGCAGACAGAGAGTTCAGACGAAGGCGGGAGAAGAGGGGGCATGTCTGCATATACATCCCGATCATAGTCCACTGAGCTTGGCTCACCCTCAGCCATGGTGCAGTGGGCGGAGCTTCCCTCCACGCTCTTGCTGTAGATAGCGATCTCCCCCGTGGCGAGCTCTGTAGCTGGCTCTCGCACCTGGTCTGACGTCACAGGCTCTGGCTCCAGGGCGATCCTCAACTCTGTCGCTCCATTATGCAGTCGCGGCGGGCTCAGGCTCTCCGTCATCGGTGGGCTCTGGCTTTTGCTCCGCGCAGCGGGGTGATGGTGGGCTGGGCTCTGGGTCCTGTCGTGCTCCGGATCGGGGTAGGACGCTCTCCAGACACCAAAACATGGCCTCCCTCCAGTTCAGTCCAGGGGTGTCTGGGAGGTTCACGGGGCGATGGTAATTTGCCCCGATCCGGAACAGGGATTTCAGCGTCTCATCATCAAATGAGGACGTGATGGCAAGACGAGTAAATCCCAGAGCGAACGTTACCAGGTCGTGGCTCTCCCGAGCCACAATTGAGAATTTCGCCGCCCATTCCATTCCTTTCTTTTTTCTTGGTCTGGTATTCTGTCACGATACTACTGTTAGGGAGACGAAGGCACCACGAAGATTATAACAACAAATCCTTTTAATGGTAATCCACACGATGAAGAGGGTCTAACACACAGGGTAACATTAAACAATACCGGACAAAGGAAGACAGGACAGACTACACTTTAAATACGGGAGCAAATGAAGATAATTAATGACACACACCTGAACTAAATGACACAATCAAACATGAGGGAAACTAGGTCACACAGAGCACATGAGGGATGAAAAAGTCCAATGGGGTGTGACACAGCGTTGAAAACTTCTTTAATATTTATTTATTTTTATTTCCTTTTTCTGGATTCTTTGATCAATAAAAAGTTCAAATAAACAGCATCTTTTGTAACATTACGTCTTATGTCATTTATAATAATATTGTCACTTTTGATCAATTTGTGTGTCATTGACAATAATAAGAAATGTTTCCTGTGCACCAAATCAGCATATTAGTATTAGAATGATCTCTGAATTATCATGCGGCACTGAAGACTGGAGTAATGGCTGAAAATTCAGAAAATTCAACTGTAATCACAGAAGTAAAATACAGTTTGAAATATTTTTAAACAGAAAACAATTACATTAAATTGTAATAATATTTCATAATATTACTGTATTTTTTATCAAATAAATGCAGCCTTGGTGAGCCTTAGAGACTTCTATAATTCCAAACTTTTAGGATGTGTACAAACTGACAAATAAGCAACAGTTTTTCATTAAAAGAAAGCAAACTTACTTCAAAAACGCAGTGGAGATAGCAATTGTATCATCTGTCTGTTGGTCAATATTTGTAAAGAGCCCAAAACCATTGAAAACTGGTGTAAGGCTTTTCTTTATGGGGCTGGTGTTTGAAGGTGCAGTTTCAACACTCTGCCAGGTGGTGGCACCTTTATTAGGAGCATTATGAGCAGGAATTGTCGCATTAGTTGCAGAGTCCATTGGTTGGTCATTAGTGACAGTGGAGCAAACCTGCGGATTTGCCTTTTTAGGACTAGTGTCATGGTTCCTCAAAACCTGACAGTTCTCCACAGCCCTGTCTCCATCAGAGTTCCCTTTGGCCACTGGAGAGCCTCCAACCTGCTCTGCCAGAGCCCCATCTCCTCCTCCGTGGGTTTCTTCTGGCACAGAGGTGTCCTCTTTGCAACTGCGTTTGGCAGACCCAGAGTTGGAGGAGGAAGAGTGGTGCGACTGTGGCGATCTCCCTGAGGATGACCTGTCAGAGCGACGGGAATGGCTGCGGGACTGAGGACTTTTTGACTGCTTCTTGGGAGAGCGTGAACGCGAGCGGCCCCTCTTGGGGCTGTTGGGGTGGTACTGCTGCTGCTGTTGCTGCTGATGGTGCTGCCGGAAGTTCTGCCAGTTTTTGGGTCGGTAGTTATTATATCCACCCCTTCCACCACGCTGAAAGCGGCCACGGAAAAAGCCCTGACCTCTGCCCCGAAAGTAATATGGCCTCCGGAAGCCTCTGTGGTTGCCTCGAAACTCACGTTGATTCTGGTACTCCCGTGTGTGGTTCCGCTCCCGGCTGTGGGACGGAGAATGGGATCTTGACCGAGAGCGAGACCTAGAGCTTGAAGACAACAAAAAGAAGAACCAGCAAGAGTCAGCAAAACTCTTTAGGATATAGAAAATGACGCAAAGAGACATTATATGCTATCATTATATGCTATAGTGTTTTTCCAAGGAAAACAACAAAAGAATTTCCATTTTTTTTACTTAGATTTTTTTCTTTACAACTATGAGATCTCATAGATCAACTATGAGAGATATGAGAGAGAGAGCGAGCGAGAGAGAGAGAAAGAGAAAAAAAAGGCCGCGGTGGAGCCGGAGCGACAGAGGACCAAGGTGGAGCCAGAGGGAAGGAGGAGCCTGACAGAGGCAGAGGGATGGAGGGACGAAGTGTAGCCGGAGGAGTGGAGTCCTGAGGCGGCAGATGGTCGACGACAGACTAAGGCGGAGCTGGAGGGACAAGGGACCCCGGCGGAGCCGGTGGACTGATGGGCCACGGCGGAGAGGAGGGAGCTAGGAGTCATGGCGGAGCCGCTGGGTCGAAGGGCCGAGGCGGAGTCCTGAACTTAGAGGCTGGAGGCGGAGACAAGGGATGGAGACTGGCAGACCCGCGGCGATCCCACCGCACAGATGATGGGCTGAGGGTGAGCAGAGGGGCTGCCAGGAGACAGCGGTGGCAATGGTGAGGACTGGTGCAGAGGTGGTGGGAGAGGGAGGCTGGTCGGGAGTTCAGGATGCTCAGGGGGCTCAGGAACAGTGTGTGCTTCCCACACACATCACAAGGCCACTCCCAACACCGGGAGCGAATGTAACAGGGGGTTGACCTCCATGGTCGTTGTCCCACAGGCAGATAGACAGTTCAGCGCAGACAGATAGTTCAGGGCAGACAGAGAGTTCAGACGAAGGCGGGAGAAGAGGGGGCATGTCTGCATATACATCCCGATCATAGTCCACTGAGCTTGGCTCACCCTCAGCCATGGTGCAGTGGGCGGAGCTTCCCTCCACGCTCTTGCTGTAGATAGCGATCTCCCCCGTGGCGAGCTCTGTAGCTGGCTCTCGCACCTGGTCTGACGTCACAGGCTCTGGCTCCAGGGCGATCCTCAACTCTGTCGCTCCATTATGCAGTCGCGGCGGGCTCAGGCTCTCCGTCATCGGTGGGCTCTGGCTTTTGCTCCGCGCAGCGGGGTGATGGTGGGCTGGGCTCTGGGTCCTGTCGTGCTCCGGATCGGGGTAGGACGCTCTCCAGACACCAAAACATGGCCTCCCTCCAGTTCAGTCCAGGGGTGTCTGGGAGGTTCACGGGGCGATGGTAATTTGCCCCGATCCGGAACAGGGATTTCAGCGTCTCATCATCAAATGAGGACGTGATGGCAAGACGAGTAAATCCCAGAGCGAACGTTACCAGGTCGTGGCTCTCCCGAGCCACAATTGAGAATTTCGCCGCCCATTCCATTCCTTTCTTTTTTCTTGGTCTGGTATTCTGTCACGATACTACTGTTAGGGAGACGAAGGCACCACGAAGATTATAACAACAAATCCTTTTAATGGTAATCCACACGATGAAGAGGGTCTAACACACAGGGTAACATTAAACAATACCGGACAAAGGAAGACAGGACAGACTACACTTTAAATACGGGAGCAAATGAAGATAATTAATGACACACACCTGAACTAAATGACACAATCAAACATGAGGGAAACTAGGTCACACAGAGCACATGAGGGATGAAAAAGTCCAATGGGGTGTGACACAGCGTTGAAAACTTCTTTAATATTTATTTATTTTTATTTCCTTTTTCTGGATTCTTTGATCAATAAAAAGTTCAAATAAACAGCATCTTTTGTAACATTACGTCTTATGTCATTTATAATAATATTGTCACTTTTGATCAATTTGTGTGTCATTGACAATAATAAGAAATGTTTCCTGTGCACCAAATCAGCATATTAGTATTAGAATGATCTCTGAATTATCATGCGGCACTGAAGACTGGAGTAATGGCTGAAAATTCAGAAAATTCAACTGTAATCACAGAAGTAAAATACAGTTTGAAATATTTTTAAACAGAAAACAATTACATTAAATTGTAATAATATTTCATAATATTACTGTATTTTTTATCAAATAAATGCAGCCTTGGTGAGCCTTAGAGACTTCTATAATTCCAAACTTTTAGGATGTGTACAAACTGACAAATAAGCAACAGTTTTTCATTAAAAGAAAGCAAACTTACTTCAAAAACGCAGTGGAGATAGCAATTGTATCATCTGTCTGTTGGTCAATATTTGTAAAGAGCCCAAAACCATTGAAAACTGGTGTAAGGCTTTTCTTTATGGGGCTGGTGTTTGAAGGTGCAGTTTCAACACTCTGCCAGGTGGTGGCACCTTTATTAGGAGCATTATGAGCAGGAATTGTCGCATTAGTTGCAGAGTCCATTGGTTGGTCATTAGTGACAGTGGAGCAAACCTGCGGATTTGCCTTTTTAGGACTAGTGTCATGGTTCCTCAAAACCTGACAGTTCTCCACAGCCCTGTCTCCATCAGAGTTCCCTTTGGCCACTGGAGAGCCTCCAACCTGCTCTGCCAGAGCCCCATCTCCTCCTCCGTGGGTTTCTTCTGGCACAGAGGTGTCCTCTTTGCAACTGCGTTTGGCAGACCCAGAGTTGGAGGAGGAAGAGTGGTGCGACTGTGGCGATCTCCCTGAGGATGACCTGTCAGAGCGACGGGAATGGCTGCGGGACTGAGGACTTTTTGACTGCTTCTTGGGAGAGCGTGAACGCGAGCGGCCCCTCTTGGGGCTGTTGGGGTGGTACTGCTGCTGCTGTTGCTGCTGATGGTGCTGCCGGAAGTTCTGCCAGTTTTTGGGTCGGTAGTTATTATATCCACCCCTTCCACCACGCTGAAAGCGGCCACGGAAAAAGCCCTGACCTCTGCCCCGAAAGTAATATGGCCTCCGGAAGCCTCTGTGGTTGCCTCGAAACTCACGTTGATTCTGGTACTCCCGTGTGTGGTTCCGCTCCCGGCTGTGGGACGGAGAATGGGATCTTGACCGAGAGCGAGACCTAGAGCTTGAAGACAACAAAAAGAAGAACCAGCAAGAGTCAGCAAAACTCTTTAGGATATAGAAAATGACGCAAAGAGACATTATATGCTATCATTATATGCTATAGTGTTTTTCCAAGGAAAACAACAAAAGAATTTACATTTTTTTTTACTTAGATTTTTTTCTTTACAACTATGAGATCTCATAGATCAACTATGAGAGATATGAGAGAGAGAGCGAGCGAGAGAGAGAGAAAGAGAAAAAAAAATAAACAAAACATAAAAGTAGCTTATACATCTTCTTCTGGAGCCTCAAGATACCTCTGCGTGACAACAACAGACCAAAGATTTTCACTACTAATCTTTACCTCCATTGCAGATCTCAAATCAAATTTTATTCAAATGTAATTTGGTTATAATGTCAAGAAATTTGGTTATGAGACACTTTAGAACAAATGACATTCATTTTATTGATGTCCAACTAAATGCTTTAGGTAATTTTTCAAAATAACAGTAAATAATGACTTGTGGGCCACTTCCTCACACAAATAAACAATTTTCTATAATGCTTTTATAGTGTTTTTATCCTTTTTGTAGCTAGAAAGCCCAGTAGTTGTATGAAAAAGACTCTCTTAAAAGAATGCATAATAATAATAATAATAATAATAATAATAATAAATGAATGTTATTAAATGAACAACCACAACAATAAAAGGTTGACTATCCCTTTAATAACTGATAACATTCATTTCTAAAGCAAAAAGGCCAATGAATATAGCAGTAAATTTTTACAAATATACAAGAAATATTTATTTCATATTTTCTATAATTGTTTCGATTTACGATTTAAGATCAATAATTAGTGTAACACTATTTCATAGAATTATTTCAGGTAGTATACACTGCTGCTATGATCAATTACAAATAAAAGCTCTGGGTGCAAGGTCAACTTTAGCCACACGGTGGCCCTGTTGTTCTATCTATGAACACATCTAAATTAAATAGTTCTGGTCTCTCTGTAAAGCAGTCCATTTCAGCATGCCTTAACATATCACAAACACTGATAAATCACCTAAACAACTTGCACATGCAAGTACTTCATACTGTGCATTGCACTCTGATCTATAGAATATTCAATATGTATAATTTATAGAATATAATCTCATTGGGAAATGAACAGACACTGAAACATTTCAACATTATGCACACGTCAACTGTGTCAGACAAAAAAATTACAGAAGACATGCAATTATGTCTAGCATTGTATTAAAACCTGTCATTCTAGTAGAGTGGATTTTTTTGTCATTTGGAAAGTGAAACGGTGTTGCAAATGATTATCCAACTGAAGCACCCTGCAACCGAATTACAATCCAACAAACAACTACAAACATAATGACATTAACAATAATCTACAGTTTCGGCTGGTTTTGTACTCACCTGATGTGCTTTTTCATTGGAATACAGAGTAAGAAGGTAGTGCACAGAGCAACATGATACTCTCACAGTGAGAAAGAGGGACTTTACATATCCTCTAGTGAGCGTGGATGGAAAGAGTCAGTCACATGGGTCATATTGGAAAGATTTCTACTCTCTTTTCTACGAAGCAAAGAGGAGGTTCTCAGCCTGCCAGTTACAACACATTAGCTTTGTACAGAGAGCAGACTTTAACTGAAGGTAACAATTACAACAGCTTCCTTATTTGAAAAGCTATTTATCCACTAGTTAAGGTAAATTGATTTAAGTAATTGTTTAGTCACTCTCATGTAATTCCAAACCTATATCATTTTCTGTCTTCTGGGAAGCACAAAAGCAGACATTTTAATTGTACTGGTTGCACTTTTCCCTGTTATTACAATGAATGGAAACTGAGGCATTTAATCTTCTAAAGGGTACAAAAGCAACATAAAAGTCATCCATATGACTCATACACTGAACGGCATGTCGTCTAAAGTCATATGATAGCTTTATGTGAGATACTGACCAAATTTAAGTCATTATTGACTGAAAACCTTGATATTGTAGCTCACATCTCACAAGATAATTCAGAATGACATAATTTTTGGTCTGTTTGTCACACAAAGCTATCATAAGACTTCAGAAGACCTGAAATCTCCTCTGTGCAAAAGTCATATCGACAACTTTAATAGAGTTTTGCGTCTTTTTAAAGCTTGAAACCTTTAACTGCAATAGCACTTGAAAAAGCAACTAGTACAATTCTTTTATGTTCCACAGAAGAAAAAAGAAATACAGATTTGGAATGACATGAGGGTGAGTAAATGGACAAACTTTGGACAAACTGTCCCTTTTATTTAGTACTTTGCTTTCTCCGAAACAGGGTATTTATAATTTGGAAATGACTGCATTTTCATCCACTTATGACCTTATGACAGTTTGACTTCATTCAAAACCATACAGCTATGCTTCATTCATATGACATGCATGCATCAAGCTTTTTCCAGCTGTGGCATCTCTCTGAAACTGTGGTCAGCAGTGAGAGGCCAGGCTCACAAATAAGGGACATCAGATTTGACCCTCTACGGATTCCATTTGCATGAAAAATCAACATTGTACATCTCTCCGACTGGCCTCAAAGTACACTGTCAACCACACAGGAAAAAGGATCCATGCTTATGGGAAAAAAATCATGCATCCTCAAAAATATTTAAAACAAAAAACCAAAGTACCACAAATATGTATCCGTTTTTGTCTAATACAGAGCAGCAGTTTTTTGGCAGAGGCAATTTACATTTGGCTACCTAACGGGCTCCACTGTGTTGTAAGCACAAAACCAGCAGTCCTATGAGAATGTGCAGGGAAGTACAATTTTAGCACGGGAAATAAGAAAGTGTGGTGAGCCTTTCCAAAGCCACAGCCCTTCCCAAATATCAGACTTTATGCAATGCTGACGAACACATGGAGAGTAAAATCACAGTGAATGAGCAGCCCCTTTTCAACAAGTGAGGAAGCCGGAGTATAAAAGCACAGGGTGCTTTCATTTATGTATGGAGGTGTACCTTACATAACTTTGGCCTGGCAGCTGTGGCTAGACGGCTGAGACTGGGATATTAATTTTAATTTAAAACGAGTCATGGAGGGGAAGCTGAGTCACATGTTTACAATGTTCCATTGTGTGTTTATGAACAAAGTGAGAAGTTAACAGTTTGCCAACCCACTCAATCCTTAAGCACATCTGTCAAGACACAGTAAGCCCTATTGTGTTTAGATTTGTACTTTGTAGTATGGTCAGAATGAGTAGCTAATGTTCATTGTTCACCAAGCACAAGATTATAAGTAGGCCCAGATGGAATCTTTCTTCTTGCATTTTCTGGGTTTATTTACACAGAATTGTGAGCTAATTCCGTGGGCCTGATTGGAAGACAGCAAAAGAGGCTAAATGAATCTGCATGAATGACCTAGTAGTCAGGAAAATGGAAATGATTACTGATAATTTAATTAGTTTTTTTCCTCTTAGAAATTATATTACAACACATCCCTTCTTTCCTATTCATTCTGTTACGTATTTAAATCCACAACACGTCACTGAAAGTGATGACTGAAACTTGAAAGTACAAAGTCTGACTCAAAACTGAAATTAATAATTGAAACCAACTCCTTCATCCAGCATCTGCACACACCTGCTTTGTACGCTGCATTAATGGTAACCATCAAATTTTTCATTTACAAAATATTTTGTATGCCATGATGATTGCAAAGCCAGTAGCTTCTATTTAATTAGCATAGACACTTACCAATATCTGCGTTTCCTGGATCTAGATCTAGAGCTGCTTTGTGATCTGGAACGGGAGCGGGAATCAGAATGGGATCTTGATCTGGAGGCCGAGCGAGAGTGAGACCTGGACTTTGATTTCTGTGTCTTTGACATTGTCGCTTGTAGCCTCTCACATATGTGCCTGTAACAAAATGAAAACCATTCAGACCAGCAAATTACAAAAAAGTTGTAATCATTAAAAAATGACATTTTTAAAAAGTTTTATGAGCTGTTACCATGTTTGTTCTAGATTTTTTATAAAAGAGTTTATAGTGTTACAAGGGCTTGCTTTACTTTAAAAACTGTATGTAAATCCCCACTCATCCATCTACATTGAGATGTTTATTCTCTGGGACATTAAGATGGTTTGGCTGGGCAGTATTAAAATTTCCATATCTTTAAATCACGGTTTGTCAGGCTACAACCTGGAAAAATAAGCACTAAAGGTTTGTTTAAAGGCACATCAGGAATTAATTATGGAATAAATGTCAGTCTACAAGGCTGATCATGTTTATGTGAGGGATCATCAACAGACAGTCTGTCATTATTCTTAATAATAATTTACAGTCTGTTTATTTTGTGATAATGGCTGGCTAACTGTACATTATACTGTTTATTACACAACTAAATATTGATTTGAGTTGACTTTGTTTTTGATTTTCTTACCTACCTATATATTATCTTAAAACTTCCACCAGAAAAAAAAATAATTATGGCAATCAGCCAACAATGCAACAATATTTGAGTAATATTAATACGGTAAACATCCGAAGTGATTTTTACTACAGTCGATAACTGAAATGTAAGATGGCATCATTTGCGCTGTACAAAACAAAATGTGTGAGTCTACAGTGTGATGCAAGAGACATGAAAGTAGCACCAGTTTCAGTTACCGATGAGAAATGTTGCCATGCAAGACAGTACAACACTCGGGTTGCAGAAGTAAAAATCTAATTCATTTTGATGACAGACCTACTGTGAGCTATAAGGTTGTTAATTGATGGTATATGCTTTTGTTGAATTTTTCAAAAAAATCCTGGTAAAAACTACATTTCCTGTGATTCTGCAAAGAAATCGTCTCAGGTTACTTATGTAACCATGGTTCCCTGAGTAGGGAACGAGACACTGCGTCCTCTAGGGGTCGCTATGGGGAACGCCTCATCGTGACCAGTGTCTGAAGCATACATTGAAAAAACACCAACTCGTTGGCCGGCGACAGCCATGACGTCACTACCGGTGCGACTATAGTATAAATAGGCGCCGGGAGCACACATCATTCACTTCTTCGTCTGAAGCTTGCGTCCGCAGCATGGCAAGAAACCTAGAGGACGCAGTGTCTCGTTCCCTAATGAGAACGTTCCAATGAGTTGATGTTTTTTCAATGTATGCTTCAGACATGGGTCACAACGAGGCGTTCCCCATAGCGACCCCTAGAGGACGCAGTTCGAAGTTCCCATGAAAGGGAACTCCTTTAGCATCTGCCCATGATGGGAATGACAGTCTCCATACACTCTCAAACTACTTTATATGTATATTAGTATATGCATACTGTGCAATAACATTGTTTCTATATACAAAATCAACCTCTTGAAATCAGCAGTTTTATATTAGTTTGTCATCTTTTATTTGATTATGTCATTTTTCCCTCATTAAAGCCATTAAGTAGACAGTCTTGTAATCTTTTGTCTTTGTAATGTTGTGATTCACCTCGCTGATAGCTGGTTGTTTGATTCATGGCTTATAAATCTTAAACGAAGACAAAATTCCATATGGAAAAATGAATGGGAAAAACATTTCCAAAGCCAAGGCCACTAGAAAAGTGGAAGGCACTGATGAACTCTATTAGGAAGTATCAAAGTTCTGAATGTCACGATTGACCAGTTGAAAATTGGCCATTTTAGTGCAGTGTGTAATTTCTGTACCAGTAGGAATAGCAAAAACAATGACCAGGAAATCCACTTAAAAGCGTCTAATTTAAGCACGGGTAAATGGCTTTACTTATAGTCTTCCTTATACATTAAAATGCGATAGGAGAAGGTTTTTAGCACTGAAAAAATGCACACTTCAGCTTCAATTATCTGACTTTCTTTCGAGATTTAAATATACACACTGCATGTGTTGAGTCTACTGACAAGGACAAATGTGAGGAAAAGCTACAGGCTTGGCAGGACAGATGTAAAGTGACGCCACATTAGCATGGAGGCGAGAGTGATTTACTGGCTCTTTAATTTTATTCCCAATGTATTTAAAGAGGTGTTGAAAGGTGATTCTGTCTATTGTCCATTATCTTTACCCTCCACAAATGCCCTCAACTGTTTCGCTGGCCTCACTCTTGGGTTTTTACCATAGGGAACACTGGTGATCAAAGAGAGACAGCACTGGCTCAAAATAAACTTGCAGCAGCGATAAAGAGAGAGCTTTTGAGTTCACTGCAATGGCTGCAAATATCCATATTATAAGCTGCTCCTCGACTGCTTGACATCATACCGGTTTTAAGATAGTACTATTAATTAAAGTTACTAAACATAGATTCAAATCCAGTCTGAATTTATTTGCTATCTTTGCACTCATTAATAAGTGCGACACCTTCAAGCTGTTTACTTTATCTGGACAGAAAGCGACTGGTGACGCATCGCAAACAATTAGCTGTCACCTAACTGATCCATTAGGACCGCTGACATAACGATCTCAAATAGATGCACAGAAATAGACCCTTAAGGCCCGTTCACACCAAGAACGATAACTATATTAGCATCCACACCAACAGATGATAACATTCTGATTATTCTAAGTGCATGATGCACTTACAATGTCTGCAGCTTTCAATGCTCAAGCGCTTAAAAGCCGACTGGATTCTGATTGGCTGTCAATATTTTTATCATTCATCAGCTGGAAAAAATGCTTTGAAAGTGACTCCAACTATATTGTTTTTTTGTGTGTCATTATTGTAATACAGTAATTGTTGTGTGGACTGCACTATTCTCTTCTTTTTATCTTCTCCTAACTTTAACTCTTATCTTTAACTATATGGTTATAGTTATCGTTATAGTTGTCATTCTTGGTGTAAATGGCCCTTTTTGTGTTCCATGACATCCTAGACTTTCTCTTGGCTTTGCTTGTGAAAAACAAGCCTCAAGATTTACTGCCATTTTTTGGTAATCCTACATATGACGTGCAATTCACCTCGGCACTCCAGAAAAGTTATTTGGGAGCTTTTCCTTTTTGAGACTCATCAGAAGTAGCTTTGCGCACAGGAAATTGCAGACTGAACGCTTAAGCTACAATTCATTGTGGTATTTTTGTGTATAGCATGCTAGTCTGAGTAGATCCGTGCTGCTGTTTTAGAAAACACAGACCGAAATGAACCCAAAGCCTCTTTTTTTTTTATTCCTTTTGACTGCTTGTTGGTTTTGGCCAGCAGTCCATAATTTCCTGCAGCCTCCAGACATCCAGACGTTTGGCTTACTGTGCAAAGTTTCTAAGCTACTTTACTTTTACTGTATATTGAAGAACTATGGGAACATACTTGGAAGTTTAACCATTAAATGAATGTCACAAGTATTCATATAGTATGTCAACTAAGACACTTGGTGTTCAACAACCCAGCAGCAACAGTTTCTCATTCTCAGCACCTGTCTTTAGAGATTAGCAAAGTTAGTTTCAGATGCTTAAAATAGAGATAACAGGAAAATAACACGTCACAAGATACTTTCATCTGTATACAGTATAGCTTCCCTTCTGCAAATGAGATCTATCTAATTGACTCGGTGGAGGAGTTTGATCATGACACTTTTAAGATAATGAAGGCATCTTTACATGGGTTAAGAAAATGTGTGGGATTCATTTCAAAGCATAGTATTATAGATTAATAAAGAGCAGCTTTCTTGTAATCCTTCTTTAGCTAATCCTTAATTTTCCTGAGGAGGTCAATAAAGCATCTACGTGCCTATTGGTCCATATGGGAATGGAGTGTGGTCTGTAGCCTAATCAAAAGGATTTGATAGCTAAAAATGTCTGTGTCAAACATCTCCGGTGGTCATACCCTTGTGCTGTCATTACAACATCACACATGCACACGCATCTAGATGGCTCCCAAAAGTGACAGCTGCACTAGGAACTTCTCACCTGTTCGATTAAGGGGGCAAAGTTGATGTAAACAATGGTGCAACCTGACACGACCGCAATATGCTCCCAACACTCAATCAGCCGCTCTATCATTAAGGCCACAGATGCAACACCAGCAGCACCAAAATCCCATTTGTTATCTGCATTAGTCAATGCAGCAAAAGAGACACTTATCAACAGCCAAAGCAACTGCTACATTCTTCCAAAGACTCCACAGATGTTTGAAAACCTCTTTGAAGTGTACAAAACATATGCTTTTTAGATCCTACAGCTTCTGAGGTAAACATTTGATTGATTGTGGAGTTTCGAATCAATCTTTTCAGCAACTCTATTAATAAATGAAGCATGGGTGCATTGCTTGAACTTGAGAAGCTCTATACTTTTTGGTTGCAATGAGCTGCAGCTTCAAGGCTCAAAGAGATTCACATCCTGTCATCATTTCTCACCATCAGAACGTCTGCATGATTTTCTATCCTCTTTAGGTCACAAAAGTAGATCTTCACACTGTTTTCCATATATAGTAAGCAAATTGTAACTATGGGCTGTCAAGCTTCAAAATTGACAGTATATCATACAATTTGAGGACTCTATTTTGAGTGTTCTACAGTTCTAAAGGAGTGGCTTTGGGTTGTGAAAAGTCATCTCAACATTAACTTTTATTGAACAGAAAAGAGCAGCGTGAACCTTCTGCTAAATTTTTATTTAGTGTTTCACTGAAGAAAGAAAATAATAGGGTTGAAAAGATAAGTGGGTATATACAGACATAAGACCCAAAACCCTGCTTATAGAGGAAGCTTTTTTTTTTTCTTTTTTTTTTAAGTTTTTTATTAATGCTGAGCCTGGTCCAATGCTGGGCCCTCTTTCATTTTGTGATGACTTGTGTCTCATCTTGCTGTCATCGCTGCATCTGTTAGCCTCTGCTGATTTCACAAGGGAACTCATCAGTTGAAGGTCTTCTCTATTTTAGTCTTATATGAGAATTACATAAAATATATAGCTGAATGGATCTACTGTGTAATGATAACTAAGAGCTTCCTTTAGTCTGTTTGACAAAACTGATTATTTAAAAAGTGGGCTGACCAAACTTTCCAAATCGCAAGATTCCAAGAACATGCTTAACAAAGCCAATAGTCTTACATAATGTACAAATCCAAACACAAACAGTGGTTGAATAGATTTTAGATTATTCAAATGTGTAACACATGGTATGGCACTAGGATGTAAGTTCTGACTGACAAAATGTTGTGTCACAGTGTCACACATTCAATCTCATCCATCATTAATTAAAGGGGTCATATGATGCGATTTCAATTTCTTCAACCCAAATATTCGGATGTGTGCAGCACATTTTATGGAGGACTGTTTACTGATCCTGGGAAAGTAGACTACAATGCTGGCTGTCCAGAGTTTTTATATTTTATATATTTAAAGCGAGTTTTTTGGGCAGTGTAGAGTAGGGCTTGTTGTTTGCGGATGCAATGCAATGCGATGCAACACAACGAGTAAAAAGACAGTATAAGTCATTATAATCCATAATTATGTCCCCACTGGATGCAACGAATGCCTCGTTTGTAATGGGTTTTCATGTTTTTGTCTCATCGCTCCGGCCGGACAGGGCATCATCACAATATAGCAAGGGGCGTAACATATCCGTCTCACGCTTGAGGAATTCGGCCAATCACAACGCACTGGATAGCTGGCCAATCACAGCACACCTCGCTTTTTCAGACCCATGAACTTTGTAAAAATCGACGCGTTTCAGAAAGGCGGGGCATAGAGGAGAAACAATAATGTACAGTATGTGGAAAATAATGTTTTTTTAACCTTAAACCGCATAAACACATTTCATTACACCAAATACACAAAATACTGTTATTTTTAGCAGCGTCATATGACCCCTTTAAGACTTTAAAATAAATATTCTTGTACATTATCAAACATTCCCCCTTTAAAAATCCACAAATAATGTATAGTGCTCATGAACTGTATTTTATAATTCTATAATAAAACACTTAAAAAAATAGGTAGGCCTACATTTAAATAATTAAATTCATGCTCAGGACAAAAGAGGGAAAACGAATCACAAAAATTCAACTAAGGGAATAAAAACGGACAAATTAATGCTGCTGATTGTAAACTGGTGTTTTTAATTTGTATTTTGTAAATATTTGGAACATGGTGTAGAACTATTGCATATAGACTATTTAAAATGTAATATCATGCATGTTTGTCTATTTATTTTTAATTAAGAAATAAAAGCTTCACATCTTTGAAAATGATTTTAACTGATGCCAAAAAATATCAAACTGATTTTAAAAAAACCTTATGAATGTTTACCAGTTAATGAATAGTGAAAGGAATAATGAAAAATGCATTTTACTCGTTATTCTTACAACAGTGAAACTGTGGTAATTTGGCATCATCAATAATCAGTCAAAAACATATGAATTAAACAAAATGACACAAAGCTGCTTAACTTAGAAGTAGCTCGTTCCCAGAGTACATTTTTAGTTTGTTTTTATCCTCTTTTATTCCATTTAACTCTTTTATTTTATTATATTAAAGTTTCTAAACAAAAACACTTACCTATAATTCGATGTAGTCCACGATGAAAATATTCATCTACTGTCAAATGTTACAGGTGACTGAAATAGTTTCCTTTCGTTTTGAAAGAAAAAAATCATTCGTTATACTTAAAGTAGCTATTTAAATCATTCTGACGGAGAAAACGGCAATATCCAGTTGGTTTAACCTGAAGTATCCACATTCAAAACGTAGTTAGCCTATTTTAATTCCAAATGACAAACATGTCGTATTTAGTCTTAACCAAACTGTATAGTCACCCGTGTGAATACGGAGAACTATTCACGTCAAATGATGTAAAGCAGCTTTATGTGCTCACAGTGGCAGAATGGGGGTGTGACACGGGACTGTGCGATACAGCGTGGATACTACAGGCTGCGCGGGTCAAGTTTCTCCCCTGCATTCCCCTGTCAATCAAATCTGCGCTGAAAGCTAGCCACGCCCTTAGATATGTTAAAGGAACAGGCACGCTATTTTTGAATATTTATGTACATAGATCTTTTGTTATTGTTAAGCATCATAAAAACACACACACAACAGCAGCTTCAGAATTCACACTTAAAGCATATTTAACTGTTAGGCTATTTATGTTGAACAAACAAAATAAGAAAGTCTGATGAGCTTTGTAAAAATCGACGCGTTTCAGAAAGGCGGGGCATAGAGGACAAACAATAATGTACAGTATGTGGAACATAATGTGTTTTTTGAACCTTAAACTGCATAAACACATTTCATTACACCAAATACACAAAATAATGTTATTTTTAGCAGCATCATATGACCCCTTTAAGTTATATTAGAGGTAGGGTGCAATTTGTTAAAAACAGAGGGGGCTATTTGGAAAGAGAGTGTCATCATTGAAATTTTAATGTAGAAATTTAGACAAGGTAGAAATACAGTGTAATTCATATAAAATGAACAGTAAAATACATAATAATGTATTAATAATAAATAATGTTTTAAACTGAATTACAGTCTATCCATAATATTGCTTTCTTTAGTGATAAAGTCATCTTGTCGGAGTCAGAACAGAAATACGCACAGATCAAGCACCGTTTATACACAAAAACAGTTCTAAAGAAATATGTTGGTGGATTTTGATGTGAGAGGACAACAGAGGATGGACTTTTTCGATGGAGGAAGCATTATTATGGATTATTATGGTATTTTGACCAGATGGCAATGGTTTAAAGTTATAATTCCTTAACAATTGAGTTGTTTCTTACAAACATGCTGCTTTCCACTTCACAAGACATTAACTGATTGACTGGAGTTGTGTAGATTACTTTTGATGTTTTTATCAGCTGTTAGACATCCCTTTCTGACGGCACCCATTCACTGCAGGGGATCCACTGGTGAGCAAATGATTTAATGCTAAATTTCTCCAAATCTGTTCCAATGAAGAAACAAACTCATCTACATCTTGCATGACCTGAGGGTGCAAATTTTGGGGGTGAGCTATTCCTTTAAGAAATCATAACGTATTTGTCTTCCAAATAGGCCTACAAATTGATGTCATGATTGAACAGCTCATAAAACAAGGAATGACAGTACCAGCCATGAAGTGCATTATTCATTCTTATTATTCACTTTACTTTTCTTCTTAGAATTTATAATTTTCTTGACACTAGACCTGCAAATAAGAAAATAAACATCAGCCCAAGGTTTGTGCCAGGTCCTCCTACTCATAGCTTTACTTTTGCAAGGCAAATATTTAGCCATGTGTTTGAGTGAGTAAATCAAGCCATGATGTGTGGTCCTTAGTTTTTGACAGATGCTGATATTCAATCAAAATAGAAAACTACAGAAAACTCTGTTATTTGTTTGTTCATGATGAAAAGTTAACTGGTGATATGACTGTATTTCATTGTATTGATTATACTCTGCACGGATGCACAAATTGTGAGATATTTGTTGATAGCAACATCATGATAATGTGTGCAATGGTTATTCTGTGGTTTGGAATAGATGACCAAATCTATTTTATTTTAGCCAAAACTTAAACATGAGGAATACATATTGTTAGAATCAATTGCATCTGTCTTACCCTGAACATATATAAAGAATTCACAGTAGTAATCGATTCAAGACAGCAAATTTGTTCCTGCAAATAGTGCTTATGTCAAATGGATAGCCTGCCAAATCCATCCATACAGCTGACATATATCAGCCAGACCAAGACAGTATGTGCAATAGCTTTCAAACAAATGATAACGGTATATTAATAAATGTTTAAATCTTTAAATGGGCTAAATTCGCCAGTTTTCACTAGAGTGTTTTAGAGGTTGAATTAAAACAGTTTACAATGTCTTTTAAATGGTAATATTAACAGCACTCTCTAACCTCCCACGTATGTTTCAAGGGTGTGTGCTGGGTGTGAATTGGACATATGAAGCACATCAGCTCTGTTTATTTAAGTTGGGACAAAAGAAGACTCTTTCACTGACACCTACTTTGTAAATATAAACAGATGACCACACAGACTCTCACATTAGGCAAATGCTTCTCATTAGGCAAACAGATAGTGTTTGATAATGTAATGGGCGTCCATGTGGTTTTGACAGTTGTGGTGACAGCCCAAAAATATATTGACTATATGGGTACACACAAAATTTACAAATGGAGACTTCATCAGTTTCACAGTTCCCTTTCAAGGGAACTTTGAACTGCGTCCTCTAGGGGTCGCTATGGGGAACGGTATACCTTAGGCTTCTTGCCATGCTTCGAATGCAAGCTTCAGACGAAGAAGTGAATGACATGTTCTCCCGGCGCCTATTTATACTATAGTCGCACCGGGAGTGATGTCATGGGCTGTCGTCGGCCAACGGGTTGTTGGTGTTTTTTCAATGTATGCTTCAGACACGGGTCACGACGAGGCGTTCCCCATAGCGACCCCTAGAGGACGCAGTTCGAAGTTCCCTTGAAAGGGAACGTCTCAGGTTACTTATGTAACCATGGCTCCCTGAGTAGGGAACGAGACACTGCGTCCTCTAGGGGTCGCTATGGGGAACGGTATACCTTAGGCTTCTTGCCATGCTTCGAATGCAAGCTTCAGACGAAGAAGTGAATGACATGTTCTCCCGGCGCCTATTTATACTATAGTCGCACCGGGAGTGATGTCATGGGCTGTCGTCGGCCAACGGGTTGTTGGTGTTTTTTCAATGTATGCTTCAGACACGGGTCACGACGAGGCGTTCCCCATAGCGACCCCTAGAGGACGCAGTTCGAAGTTCCCTTGAAAGGGAACGTCTCAGGTTACTTATGTAACCATGGCTCCCTGAGTAGGGAACGAGACACTGCGTCCTCTAGGGGTCGCTATGGGGAACGGTATACCTTAGGCTTCTTGCCATGCTTCGAATGCAAGCTTCAGACGAAGAAGTGAATGACATGTTCTCCCGGCGCCTATTTATACTATAGTCGCACCGGGAGTGATGTCATGGGCTGTCGTCGGCCAACGGGTTGTTGGTGTTTTTTCAATGTATGCTTCAGACACGGGTCACGACGAGGCGTTCCCCATAGCGACCCCTAGAGGACGCAGTTCGAAGTTCCCTTGAAAGGGAACGTCTCAGGTTACTTATGTAACCATGGCTCCCTGAGTAGGGAACGAGACACTGCGTCCTCTAGGGGTCGCTATGGGGAACGGTATACCTTAGGCTTCTTGCCATGCTTCGAATGCAAGCTTCAGACGAAGAAGTGAATGACATGTTCTCCCGGCGCCTATTTATACTATAGTCGCACCGGGAGTGATGTCATGGGCTGTCGTCGGCCAACGGGTTGTTGGTGTTTTTTCAATGTATGCTTCAGACACGGGTCACGACGAGGCGTTCCCCATAGCGACCCCTAGAGGACGCAGTTCGAAGTTCCCTTGAAAGGGAACGTCTCAGGTTACTTATGTAACCATGGCTCCCTGAGTAGGGAACGAGACACTGCGTCCTCTAGGGGTCGCTATGGGGAACGGTATACCTTAGGCTTCTTGCCATGCTTCGAATGCAAGCTTCAGACGAAGAAGTGAATGACATGTTCTCCCGGCGCCTATTTATACTATAGTCGCACCGGGAGTGATGTCATGGGCTGTCGTCGGCCAACGGGTTGTTGGTGTTTTTTCAATGTATGCTTCAGACACGGGTCACGACGAGGCGTTCCCCATAGCGACCCCTAGAGGACGCAGTTCGAAGTTCCCTTGAAAGGGAACGTCTCAGGTTACTTATGTAACCATGGCTCCCTGAGTAGGGAACGAGACACTGCGTCCTCTAGGGGTCGCTATGGGGAACGGTATACCTTAGGCTTCTTGCCATGCTTCGAATGCAAGCTTCAGACGAAGAAGTGAATGACATGTTCTCCCGGCGCCTATTTATACTATAGTCGCACCGGGAGTGATGTCATGGGCTGTCGTCGGCCAACGGGTTGTTGGTGTTTTTTCAATGTATGCTTCAGACACGGGTCACGACGAGGCGTTCCCCATAGCGACCCCTAGAGGACGCAGTTCGAAGTTCCCTTGAAAGGGAACGTCTCAGGTTACTTATGTAACCATGGCTCCCTGAGTAGGGAACGAGACACTGCGTCCTCTAGGGGTCGCTATGGGGAACGGTATACCTTAGGCTTCTTGCCATGCTTCGAATGCAAGCTTCAGACGAAGAAGTGAATGACATGTTCTCCCGGCGCCTATTTATACTATAGTCGCACCGGGAGTGATGTCATGGGCTGTCGTCGGCCAACGGGTTGTTGGTGTTTTTTCAATGTATGCTTCAGACACGGGTCACGACGAGGCGTTCCCCATAGCGACCCCTAGAGGACGCAGTTCGAAGTTCCCTTGAAAGGGAACGTCTCAGGTTACTTATGTAACCATGGCTCCCTGAGTAGGGAACGAGACACTGCGTCCTCTAGGGGTCGCTATGGGGAACGGTATACCTTAGGCTTCTTGCCATGCTTCGAATGCAAGCTTCAGACGAAGAAGTGAATGACATGTTCTCCCGGCGCCTATTTATACTATAGTCGCACCGGGAGTGATGTCATGGGCTGTCGTCGGCCAACGGGTTGTTGGTGTTTTTTCAATGTATGCTTCAGACACGGGTCACGACGAGGCGTTCCCCATAGCGACCCCTAGAGGACGCAGTTCGAAGTTCCCTTGAAAGGGAACGTCTCAGGTTACTTATGTAACCATGGCTCCCTGAGTAGGGAACGAGACACTGCGTCCTCTAGGGGTCGCTATGGGGAACGGTATACCTTAGGCTTCTTGCCATGCTTCGAATGCAAGCTTCAGACGAAGAAGTGAATGACATGTTCTCCCGGCGCCTATTTATACTATAGTCGCACCG